CAATGTTTATTTCTATTCTTAAACTTAATGTCTAATTTAGTCATTTAGTTCACATTAAAATTTCTCATGTGGGCCTAGTAGGAAATTGTTTCATGCCTCAAAAGTGCTTTTCCATTTTGTCTTTGATAAAGTAGCTTTGTATGTATGTTCAAGTGTCACTTTAGTCATGTGATATAACAATGTTTCCAAATATGTTGCAATCATCAAGAAACAATGGGAACTGTGCTATGACGTACCCACAGCTTGCTTTTCCAAGTGGTTCTCATAGAAGGTCATGATCCCTGTCTCACACATCTTGGTGTAGCTGTGAGCCAGCCAGGCTGCTGGCGGTGGGGGTGATGAGCCCCAGGCCTCCTGTTGTTCCAAGTCCCAAGTAACTGTTCCAGGTTGGGCCCCCTCCCACCTTGACTCAAGGCCAGATTTTTGTTCACAGTAGTCTAGTATAAAGGTGGGGGGGGGGCTCCCCGGTGGCACTGGGGTTAAAGACACAGTGCTGGCCCTCCCTGGTGGTGCAAGGGATTAAGCACAGCACTATGAAGCTATCCATAGCCTCTGCAGCATGGCTTAGATCCCTGGCTGGCCAGGGAGCAACCCACATAGTGCAGCAGACCTCTCCTGTCGCACCCGCTGCTCCCCTCAGCAGTGTGTTTCAGTCAGTCTGCCTGTTCTGTTCCCTGCTCTGTCTCTGGTAAATCTTCTCACCCCCCACACCTCTGACTCGAACCCCAGTTCTTTAGTTCTTGTATGCATAAATCAAGCAATCAATCTTTTTTTAGAAAAAAAAAGAAAAAAAGGTGGTTGGGTAAATTCCTCCCCTCCCTCGATCCCTCTCTCTCTTCTTTCACCCCTCTCTCCTGTTCTTCTTTCTTCCTATCATTTTTTTCCCTTCCTCTCTCCTGCCTGCCTTCCTTCCCTCCTATCATAAGTGTTTATGGAGCTCTTATCACATCCAAGATGTGGAGAACAGGGCCCTCCTCACAGGCCTATACTCTGTCTTCTTTCCCGTGGCTCAGGTAGGCAGAGCCCCAAATCAGGGGAGCCACCCATTGCTGGCAGAGACCTGGGTTCCGAGCCAGAAGTCTGAGGCAAAGAGGAAGAGGGAAACTGAAGTGGTTAGGGGCAGATTGGAGTCACCTTCTCTGTAAAAGATTTCCCTCCCTTGTTAATAAATCTATCCCTCTTGTCTGTCTACTGGAAGCCTGAGGTACAGCATGCCAGGAGAACCTATGTGCTTGGTACTTCTGCCTGTGGATCAGCAGGCACCCTGGGTGGGGCTTCTGATCAGAATCTGCCCATAGCTGGTCAGAAGTTGCAGAAGCAACTGGTGGACTAGGATAGGTAGAATTGAAGGACAGTCAAGGAGGCATGTGGGGGACATGGTGGCAGAGTAACACTAGGCTTGCAGATGCTCAAGGAGCCGAGCCTGTGAAGGAGACAGCAAGATGGCAAGTGAAGGCAGGAGAGCAGAGTGGAGGTGACCCTCATCCCAGGGAGTCAGGAAGAAAGGATAGTGGCAGGGCCAGGTGTTGTAGAACTCTCCAGGAAAATGGAGATTGAGGGAGGGCCCCTTTGCATCCAGAAAGCAGGAGTTTGTGGTGGCGTGGGCAGTGTATAGGAGACAGCAGCAGGGTTGCCTAGCAGTGGCTGAGAAGAAGTGGCAGTGAAGATAATTATTTTTATAAGAAACAAAGAGGAAGAGGGAAAGTGAAGTAGTTAGGGAGAAGCGGGGCATCAACTTCTCTGCAAAATGTTTCCTGGACTTTCCAAATATATTCATCCCTCTTGTTCATCCTTCCCCCCTCCTGTCACCCTAGTGATTTCTCTGTGATGGTCTCCGCATAATTCTCATCACCTGCGGTCATTTCTGGGACATGCTACTGGAGGTTGGGAGGTCACTGTGCTAGTGCTGGGAGCAGAAAGAGCTGGGAGGCTTCTCTTTGATTTTGTGGGATGTTATGATTCATGCTAATGAGCCATTGTTCTTCTGACACCTTCAGGTTAAGCTGTATACTTTCTCATAAGTCTAAATTGAATAAGAGGATGATATTTAGCATGTTTAGTTTGAACAGAATATTTGGTGTCAAATTAGTCAGACTGTTTTATAGACTGGGCATTGAAAGATCTAATGCTTAGGTTTTACAAGCTTTTTAAAGGCCTAAGGAAATGAATCAGACCTGAAAAAATATTAGACTCTAAGATATTAAATGTAAACTGCAAAATCAGGAAATGAATGGTGAAATATCTATAGGATATAGGTAGGACAATCACAATCAGGTTTTTTTGATGTATTTCAAATATGTACTTTGGAATGCAGGTATATTAATATGCTTGGTATAAGGGAGAGGACCTATTCTTTAAAAAGTATCTGTTCTAATTGAATACCCAGAAATAAACCCAACTAATTTATGACAAAGGAGCCAAGAACATACAATGGAGCAAGGAAAATCTCTTCAATAAGTGGTGTCAGGAAAATTGAACATACAAAAGAATGAAATTAGACTTCCATTTCATACCATACATAAAAATTAATTCAAAATAGATTAAAGACTTGGATATACACATTGAGATATCATCTCAGACCTGTGAGAATGGCACACATTAAACAAAAGTTTCTAATAAGTGCTAACAGGATTTTACAGAGAAAGAGAAGCCTATTACCCCATTAGTGGGGATGTAAACTGGTATAGCCATTTTGGAAAGTGGTCTGGATTTATCTTAAAAAACTAAAAATGGAGGGCCTTCCTGATGGCACAGGGGTTAAAAACAGTGCTATGAAGCTATTAACATCCACTGCAGCATGAGTTTGATCCCCACCCGGCCAGGGAGAAACCCATATGGTACAGCAGAACTCTCCTGCCTCACCCGCTGCTCCCCTTGGCAGTGTATTTCAGTGGATGTGCCTGTTCTGCTCCCCACTCTCTCTGGTGAATGCTCTCACCCCCCCACACCTCTGGCTTACACCCCAGTTCTTGTATGCATACATAAATATATCTTTAAAAAAAACTAAAAATGGAAATTCCATATGATCCACTCTTGGGTGTCTATTGGAAGAACAAGAAACCATCAACTCAAAAAATTGTATGCTCTACAATGCTTATTGCAGCATTATTTATGATGGGTCAGAGTGGGTAAAAAGCCTAAAAGCCTAATGACAGAAGATTTGATCAAGAAGATGTGGTATCTCCATACTATGAAATACTATTCAGCTGAAGGAAAGATGAATTATTCCCTTTTACAGAAAAATGAAAGAATTTCAAGAGAATTTATAATAAAGCAGGTCAGAATGACAAAGGCAAATATTAAATATTTATATAGCAAATTATTTGACAAAGGAAAATGCTTATAAAAACTAGCAGATACTAATATGTAAAGTGAGGCTTCTGAGATTAAGCAGAGTGAGAAAGAAAGAAAGAATCAAAGGGTTATAGGAGATGGTGGTGTGAAATAAGACTTGCATATAAGACACAAAACCATAATGCATAAAAGAATACATAGGCAATATATTCAGCAACATTAACCTTAGAGATGACTTTCCCCAAAGTCATTGATTCCAATGACAAGGGAGACAAAATCAAAAATAAACAAATGGGACAAATAAAAATTTTCTGCATAGCAAAAAAAGCCATCATCCAAAGGAAAGGCAACCCACTGAATGGGCAAAAGCATTTACAGATCATACATCCAAGAAGGGTTAATATTCAAAATATATAAAGGAGTCATAAAACTCAGCAACAAAAAAATGAGCAAACCAATTAAAAAAAAATGGGCACAAGATCTGAACAGACACTTCTTCAAAGAAGACATACAGAGGACCAATAAGTACATGAAAAGATATTCATTATTTCATGTTTTTAGGGAAATGCAAATCAAAACAACAATGAGATTATCACTTCACACCTGTGAAAAATGGCTGTTTTCCAAAAGACAAGAAATAAGTGCTAGAGAAGATGGGGGGAGAAGGGAACTCTTGCATACCATTGATGGAAATGTAAACTGGTGTAACCACTATGGAAAGCAGCCTGAACATTTCTCAAAAACTTAGAAATTCCACAAGAGCCAATAATCCTACTTCTGAGTATTTACCCCCCAAGTGCAGAAATTAATTTGAAGAGATACCTGCACCCCCATGTTCATTGCCACACTATTTACAGTAGCCAACAGCTGGAAACAACCTAAGTGCCCATGGACAGATGGGTGGATAAGAAAGATATGGATATACATACAATGGAATACTTCATTGTGAATGCTTTAGAGTGAATGCTTCACTCTAAAAAAGAGATGTAATTCTGTCATTTGCAACAATGTGGATGAACCGAGAGGGTGTTATGCTTTGTGAAATAAGTCAGATGGAAAAAGACCATTGCTGTATGATCTCACTCATGTGTGGGTGATAAAGAAACACGTAAATGAGTGAACTGAATAAAACAAAAAGAAACCTTTAGACTATCAGACCAAATTAATGGTTGCCAGAAAGGAAGGAGGAAGAGGGGGCTGAATAGATTGGGGGAAAGTAGAATTGGACTTTCAGTGGTGAACTTAATGTAATTTATACAGATGTTGATTTATAATGAGGCACACCTGAAACTTATACAGTGTTACAATACAATGTTTCTTCAAGAAGAAATTATAATTAAAAGGGCCCTGTTCATTTTCCCTGCCTCTGGTGTAGTTCTCTGAACTTTATTTTCCAAGTACATTAAGCTAGGAACACCCTAGAGGTGGTTTGATTCACTTCTATATCCCTGTGTTTAGCAATGTGCAGGTGTGTATGTGCCCCAAAAGAGCTGAAAGTTGTCTACTGGTTTGTATTGTTATCCCTAGAACTTGATTTGCTGCAAAGGGCTGTCTGAAAGGACTGGAAACACACTTTGAATCATATGACTTATTTTTGTAAGCTTGATTTTTTGAACACATCTTGTAGTGCTTGTGACAGTGGCTGACTTTAGGTTTCTTCAGTCAAACTTACACCCCTGTGTGCTCTACCCTCCCCAACCCGCCAGGTTGATGTGCCCCTTAAAGATGGTGACTCTCTCCTGAGAAGCAGGACCACTTTGTACAAGAAAAGATCTTCCAGGTAACAGGACTGGTTCACCTCCAGGGCCCACACAGCCAAACATCTGAAGGCTTCCAACCTCAGTTTCCGGGGTGGAGGGGGCGTGTGGGGGGTGGGCATCCTGGACTCTTTCCTATCATATACAAACATCTTTTATTTTTGCTTGTCTTTTATTCTTGGGGACAGTTCCATGGTTTTATCTGATTTCTAATGGGATCAGTGACTCAGTTATAGTCACTGCTCACCCGCTGTCCCTTGGTCACCTCACACAGTCATGGATCACCTGGGTGATGCCTACCCCTACAGTGGTGTCAACTGTCTCAGTCGCAGCACACCCCAGGCCCTGAAACCATGTCACTTTTCACTTCACACTCAGATTCTTGATTTCTATTGGAGGCAACACAGCTCATCTAGTCCCAGGAGACCCTGCCCCCATGGTGCTCTGAGTGACTCCCTCTGGCTGTCTGCGGATGCTGTATCCTGCTGGCCTTACCTGACCTTCTCCTCACTTGTTCCTCTTCATTGAACCAAAGTTGGTGAGAGAAGTCACCCTTTCCTTTCTTGCCTTTGAGGGTGACTCAGGTATGTTCCCTTCCTGTCTGTCCTGCACTGATGCCCTGCTCCTACCCTCACTCTCTCTCATCGGAACACCCCCTCCATGGCAGCCTCCTTGTCCCTCCTTACCTATCAAATCTAGTTTATTTTTTCACACAGGTGCCAAAATTTCTATAAAAAAGTGGAAACCTGACTGTGCCCTACCCCATAGCTTGAAACCTTTATGTGATTTTTTTTCTACCTACAAATGGCCATCCTAACTCCTCAGCAAGAATTTTGTACACTGGGCAATTTCAGCCTCTCCAGCTTTGCCTCTTGGCACCCCACCTTTGGTTTGATCTCCAGAATATGACATTACTGATCCCCTCCCCCCCCAACATGTTCAGGTAAAACCTCATCCAGGGGCCCTCCTCCACGTGAAGGCAGAGCTACATCTTCCCTCATAGTCCAGGCATTCCTCTCCCATGAACACTTCCCCACTGCTGTGTAACTCTGTGGCACCCCCATGGCTCCCTGCTGATTGATGAGCCCCTTGAGCCAGGATTTGGGTCATTATTCCTATCTCTGTCCTCAGAGCCAATTATAGATGCAGCCATGTGTAGCTACTCAATATACAATTGCTGAATGTGGCTATGCATGAGTAAAGAAATGAATGGCTATCTGAAGACATTTTGCCAACACTCAGATTTATTGTCAAAGCCCAGGGGAATATGTAACTGCTAACATTTGAGTGTGACCATTTGCCACACAGTGTTCTTAGCCTTTCAGATGTCACAGTTCATTTAATTCTTATAGCAGCTGTCAACAACAGAAAAGTACTATTATCTCCCCCATTTTGTCAAATGGTAAATTTAGTGAGGCACAGAGGCTGAGCTTTTATCCAACATGCCATCACTGGAGTGCATGGCATAGATCTTGTGTTTAAATCATGACCATTTTTTTGGAGCAGGTTCTAGTTTTTTTTGTTTCATTTATTTTAATTAAAAATTATTATTTTTTAATCTGGCACCAGCACTCTGCCTGGTATACAGTAGAACACAAATGTTAAAAGACTTCCTGAGTTGACCAGCCTTTCTACTGCCTGCGGTATGAAAGCAAGTCAGATTTGGCAAGTATGAAAGATTTGCAGTATGAAAGCAAGTCAGATTCCTTCCTTGGAATTTTTGTGTTGTTTGCGGCTATAATGCAAGTTGTGTTGACTTTTGCTGGATACATGTTTGGTCTAGTGAATGTTTGAGACTAAGTACATTACATCTTTACCTCTTTCTCTTCTGCTGTCCTTTCTCCTTTAGGTTATGTAACTCTTTTTAAAAAAGATTTATTTATTTATGCATACAAGAACTGGGGTATAAGCCAGAGGTGGAGGGGGCGGTGAGAGGATTCATCAGAGACAGTGGGGAGCAGAACAGGCAGAGCCACTGAAATACACTGCTGAGGGGAGCAGTGGGCAAGGCAGGAGAGGTCTGCTGCACCATGTGGGTTGCTCCCTGGCCGGCTGGGGATTGAACTCGTGCTATAGTGGCTGGCAATAGCTTGATAGCACTGTCTTTAACCCCGGCACCACCAGGGAGGCCCAGGTTATGTGACTCTTAACCCACCCCCTGACCTGAAGGGGACCCCTGGGATCCTGGGTACTGGTCCATATGCAGAAAGTCTCTGCTAAGGGGAAAGGCCCACTCCAACACCCCCTTTTTTTTCCCCCAGTGCTGTTCTGGGGCGGTGAAGTGGATCCTGGAAACTAGGGGCCTGGCTCCATGTTTTACAGATAATTAGAGCAGGAAGGAAACTGAGATTAGCTGGCTCATTGCCCACCTATACAGGTAAGGGAACTGAAGCCCAGGGTCATGTCCAAGATCACACTGCCCTGTGCTCACTGCTGACTTTGCACTTGTAATAATTAAATTTTATTTGACCACAATTGATTTGGAATTATCTCTCGAGATATTTTCTGTAAAATTCAATCTTGCACCTTCTTCTTCTTCCCCCAGGAATCAAACAAGTTGGGTCTTGTAAATGGATGAGCAAACAGCTGGCAGTGTTCAATTGATTTCATGGTGCCTTTATTTTGTTTTGATAAACTAAAATGAGTAATTGATTGACCTGGAATTGGTAACTGGGAAACATTTTAGCACTTTATTTTCTTCCTCCTATTGTAAAGACTTTAAACTCATTTCCATGCATTTATAGAGAGGTAATAAACCAGACTGCAAGACTTCAAAGGTTTCTATTTTATTTAATAATCTGTATAATAATCAAAGGCCACTATAATATAATACCATTCATCTACACTAGTTTGGGAGAAGTGCAATGAATGGAATATCAGAATTACAGGATATTTAAGGAATTCTTTCTCACTGCTATAAGGTAGGCTTGAACCAGAGGTAGGGATTTGTGTTCCTTAGGTGGGTATAAACTGAAGCAAATACGAGTGAGGAGGTCTGTCATACTAGAAAGCATTTTTCCCCCCTGTAATTATTTATAAAGCACATTACAGTATTTTTATACCTTTTTTTTTAATTTTTAAAAATATTTATGCAAACAAGAACTGGGGTACAGGCCTGAGTTGTGGGGGGAGAGAGCATTCACCAGAGACAGAATGGGGAACAGAATAGGAGGACTGACTGAAATACACTGCAGAGGGGAGCAGCAGGTGAGGCAGAAGAGGTCTGCTGCGCCATGTGTGTTAGCTCCCTGGCAGGGGATTGAACTCATGCTGCAGTGGCTGCGGATAGCTTCATAGGCTGCGTCTTTACACTTTGCGCCACCAGGGAGGCCCTTTTTATATCTTTTAATATAACTTCTTAAATAGAACATTTCCCAGCTAATATTCAAATGAATGCAGGTCATCAGAGTCTGAATTAGTGATGCCTTAGTAAACTTTTCGTGTGCATTTGCAATAACTTCTAGCTATAGAGAAGAATATAGGCAAATTTGATCTACAAAAATTAAGAGACAGATGTTGTCAAAGCATGAAATTACGTGGTCTACTCGGCACATTCCCCTGAGGTTGTGTAGGGGCGGGTGGGGATAACTGTTTCTTTTGTTCATTTTTACATTAATTCCTTGAATTAATTAATTAATTCCTTGAATTAACTCACAGTTCTAAGCACAGTGCTAGATGCTGTGGGCTCATTGATAGCAAGTCATGGTCCTGTCCTCATGAGGCTTCGTATCCTGGGACAGCTACAGTAAAATGTGCTTAGGACAATGATAGGGAGAAACACAGCCTCCTCTAGGAGCCCAGGTGAGGAATGGGCCTGGAGTCTCATGATCAGGGTGGGAAGAGAGTGACCCAGTCTCAGATGTGACCATGCAGAGGGAATGCTAAAGACCAAGACTGTGGGCCTGGGGAACAGGTCAAGGTGAGGGCTGATGCAGGGAGTGAGGAAGAGGAGTTGAGGGATAGAGTCTGGAGAGTTAGGTCAAAGCTTTAGCACAAAGAATCTATAGGCTTAACTAATGAGTTTGCACTTTTTCAGGTGCAGTGGGGAGACAGCAAAGGTGTTTTGAATGAATCGTTTTGTAGCTATCGAGTTTATAGGTTCTCTGGATTGAATGGAAGTCTTATGTCCATAGGCAGACAGTCCAACATGGAGCCTGTAGCACGAATTAATCCAGGCAGGAGCTGGTGATTGACTTAGCTGGCAGGCAGCAGCAGTGGGGTGAGTGAACGCGGTCAGCTTGACAATCTAAGGAGACACATCAGCCAGGGCTGTGTGAGAGAGTCGCTTTGGGGAGGAGTGATGGTGTCAGGGAAGATTGATCCCAAGTATCTCACTGGTGTTTACATGGCCGGTGTGGGCTGAGCTGTGACCATCACTGAAGTGGGGCGCACAGGGGGTAGGATGATTTTTGGTTTGGGATCTAATTGAGGTTTTTGGGTTGTTTTTTTTAAAAAGATTTATTTATTTATTTATTTATACAAGCACTGGGTACAGTCAGAAGCACGGGAGGGTGAGAGAATTCACCAGAGCCAGAGCGGGGAGCAGAGCAGGCAGAAGGACCGAAGTACACTGCTGAGGGGAACAGCGGGCGGCAGGAGAGGTCTGCGCGCCATGCGGGACCCTCCTGTGGCCGGGGAGCGCCGGGGATCGAACCTGCGCTGCAGAGGCCGCGGGCAGCTTTGCAACCCAGCGGTCAACTGCTGCGCCACCAGGGAGGCCCTCTAATTGAGTTTTAAGGTACTCATGGTCCCTAAGTAGATTTGTGCAAAGTTTGCTGGAGGTAAAAGACCAGAATTTATTACACATTATTGTAGGGTCTCCATTGTAAAACACCCTAACAGAATCTACACAGAGGAAAAGACACTACATTGAACTTTAACTTCATTTGGACTTGAGAAATTTTGGAAAAGAGGGAAAATTGAATTTTCCCCCCTTTTTCACATTCAACTGATATTATTTTAGTGATGTCATTTTATAGATAAAGCAATGAGTATGTTTTCATTGCAACATCATTCAAGTGCCCAATCTGATTAGGTTTCCTGATCTGTGTACACAAAATGTTATGTAACAGAAAATCATAAGTTGCCAGGACCTCATTTTAAGATGTAGCCCTATCACTGGCTGATAACTGTTGTAATGGATGCTTCTCCCTTGATGTGGCTTCAAAATACTTCACAGGGACTGTGGAGTTTGTATTTTTGTATTTGCTTTTCTTTGTGATAAATTAATGCATATTCATTGTAGAAATTTTATATAGAAAGTCCCAAAGAAGGGGAACAGCACCCAACCAGCATATTGCTGTAATTTCTTTTAGTGTTTTTATTTATTTGTTTGTTTGTTTGTTTGTTTATACAACCACTAGGTACAGTCAGAAGTGCAGGAGGGTGAGAGAATTCACCAGAGCCAGAGCGGGGAGCAGAGCAGGCAGAAGGACCGGGAGCAGCTGGGGATCGAACCAGCGCTGCAGAGGCTGCGGGCAGCTTCGCAACCCAGTGCTCAACCGCTGCACCACCGGGGAGGCCCTCTTTTAGTGTTTTTGATGCATTTCTGTATAGCTGTATCATATTACAAAAGCAATTCAATTTAGTGTCTTCTTATAAAATGAAAACAAGAGTTCTAAGGTAAGTTCTAGCAGTGGGATGGGAACTGCATATCAGGTGGGGAACAAATCTACATTAAGTAGAAGCAAACTGGTCTGGGGGTCTAGGGAATAGCCTATATTGAAGATGGCATAGGTTAGATTTGGAGGAAATTTAAGTACCATTCAACATTGGAAATGCATATTGGACAGATGATGGAAGGAGACAGATGTGACTTGGGGTGGCGGGAGAGTGGAGACAAGTGGGGTGTCAGCTGCATGTAGTTTTAGAGATTTTCTGGATAATAATATTTTTCTTTTTTTTTTCCATTCCCTTTTTTTCCCAGGAGAATATGAAAGTGTTACCCAGCCTGGTTTGTTTCATAGCTCTATTGATTTCTTCTCTGGAGGCTGGTAAGTTAAGTATGTCCTTGTGTTCTTGTCTGCTAAAAAAATGTTTTATTTAGAATACATAAATTACCTTTCCTACCAGACTCGTTTTTCTTACCTGTTTTTGTTGAATCCCAGGACACAGAACTTTCTGGTCATAGATATACACTGCTGAATGTTCCTCTCAGCATCTTAACCTCTTATTTTCTGACTTACACATTAGAAACTGAGGTCCAGTGAAGTTAAGAGCCTAAAGTCATGTACGTAGTTTTGAAGCAGGTCTCCAATGTCTAGCTCAGGCATTTTCCTGCTTTGTTGCTGATTGCAGAATGTGATATGGGAAATCCTGGCTTTCATAGGAAGAGGTGATAAATGTAACCTTTATGAGGGCATGGCTGAAAGCCATCCAGAGACAATTCTTTCTTCTTTCTCTCTTTCCCCCTTCCTTGCCTGCCATGACTACATAATACAAATGCATTGAGCCTTTACTCAGTGAATACAGTATACAGTAATGGATAATTTTGCCTGTGTGGGCTTTACATATCTGCATGGGCGAAAGCCAATACATTAGGTGAAAAAGAAATATTGTTATATTGTGATTAAATGTAGAGAAAAAAATCTAGGAAAGGAGAGTTTAAGTGTTTGGAATTAGGTAGGCATAAGGTTAAATTTTTTTTTTTGCTAGTATGACCAGAAAAGGCCTTTCTGAGCTGTTAACTTCTGAGTTCAACCTGAAAAAGGGCAGGGAAGGAGCTCTATAGATATCAGCCTTGGCAGATGTCTGTGGGGTGGAGGTGGGGGATATTCTAGGCAATATGTGCCTGGAGGCCGGGAATACTGACATGTTCTGGGAACTAAAATACTAATGTGGTTGGAGGAGAGTGAGAGGCAGGAAACGTGATAAGAGATGAGGTCATTTGGGTTGTGGTGGAAGGGTGGAGGGTTGATTATGTAGAACTTTGTAGATCCTTTCTAAAGGTCTTGACTTGCAGTTTTGGGTTATTTGTTCAATACTAGAGAGACGATCCAGCTTACATTTTAAGAGATTCATTGCGATTATTATATTGTGTACATATCACAGGGAGGCAAAGGCAGAAACAGAGGCTAGTTAGGAGACTATTGTAATAATCCAGGCAAGCCATGACGGTTGTCTGTTTAGACATGGTAGGGAGAAATGATGTGTAGTCAAGCTTTGTATAAAGTTTGAAGTTGGACTCCATATTGTTTTCTGGGTTTTGTTGTTGTTTTAATTTTTTTTTTATTTTTATATTCCCCATACAATTGCAACCCCCTTATTTTGACCCCAAGACCTCCTTTCCCCACCCTCCAACCCCCCATAGAGTATCTCTGGTTCATAGCTGTTTGTTGATTTTGATATTTTCTTTCTTATAGTTATTCTTTTTCCTGGTCCCTTATTTAAGTTTTCTGGATTCCTGCTACGAGTGAGACCATCCGGTATTTGTTGTTGCTAGTTTTTTTAATATGTGCCATTCTCACTGGTGTGAGATGGTATCTCATGGTAGTTTTGATTTGCATTTCCCTGATTACAAGTGATGTTGAACATTTTTTCATATGCCTGTTGGCCATTTGCATTTCCTCTTCAGAGAAGTTTCTTTTTAGCTCTTCTGCCCATTTTTTGTCTGGATTATTTTCTTTGTTTTTGTTGAGTCTCATCAGCTCTTTGTAGATTTTTGTGATCAGTCCTTTATCATTAGTGTTGGGTGCAAAAATGTTCTCCCAGTTGGTGGGGTTTCTCCTTGTTTTTGTGATTGTCTCTTTTGCTGTGCAGAAGCTCTTTAATTTGATGTAGTCCCAGCTGTTTATCTTTGCCTTCACTATCACTGCTTTGGGTGATGTGTCTGTAAAGATGTCTTTGAGGTGCAAATCATGTAGTGTTTCGCCTATATTTCCTTCTATGTATTTTATGGTTTCAGGTCTTATGTCTAGTTTTTTAATCCATTTTGAGTTGTTTTTTGTGCCTGGTGTTAGGTAGTAGTCAAGCTTCATTCTTTTGCATGCAGCAACCCAGTTTTCCCAGCACCATTTATTGAACAAATTTTCTTTGTTCCAATGCACATTCTTTGCTCCTTTGTCAAAGATTAGTTGACCATAAATCTGTGGTGCAACCCCCCGATTTTGACCCCAAGTCCTCCTTTCCCCAGCCCCCCCCCCCAAATTGTGTCTCTGGTTCATAGTTGTTTGTTGATTTTGATTTTTTTCTTTCTTATAGTTATTCTTTTTCCTGGTCCCTTATTTAGGTTTTCTAGATTCCTGCTATGAGTGAGACCATCCGGTATTTTTCTTTTTCTTTCTGGCTTATTTCGCTGAGCATGATCCCTTCCAGCTCCATCCATGTTGCTGCAAATTGCATGTGTTTAACTTTTTTGAATCCTGAGTAATATTCCATGGTATATATGTACCACATCTTCTTGATCCAGTCATCTATTTTTGGGCATTTGGGTTGTTTCCAAAGCTTAGCTATTGTAAATTGTGCTGCTATAAACATAGGAGTGCAGGTGCTCTTTGGAATTGATGTTTCTGTGTCTTTTGGGTAAATACCTAGGAGTGAAATTGCTGGATCATATGGAAGCTCTATCTTTAGTATGTTGAGGAATCTCCACACAGCTTTCCGTAGTGGTTGGACAAATTTGTACTTCCACCAGTAGTGCAGGAGAGTTCCTTTCTCTCCACATCCTCACCAACATTTGTTGTTGCTAGTTTTTTCAATATGTGCCATTCTCACTGGTGTGAGATGGTATCTCATTGTAGTTTTGTTTGCATTTCTCTGATTGCAAGTGACATTGAACATTTTTTCATATGTCTGGTGGCCATTTGTATTTCCTCTTTGGAGAAGTTTCTTTTTAGCTCTTCTGCCCATTTTTTGTCTGGATTATTTTCTTTGTTTTTGTTGAGTCTCATCAGCTCTTTGTAGATTTTTGTGATCAGTCCTTTATCGTTAGTGTTGGGTGCAAAAATTTTCTCCCAGTTGGTGGGGTTTCTGATGGCCATCCTACCAAAAGCAATCTACAGATTCAATGCTATTCCAATTAAAATTTCAATGTCATTCTTCAAAGAAATAGAAAAAATATTGATGAAATTCATATGGAGCCACCAAAAATCCCGAATAGCCAAAACCCTCCTGGAAAAAAAAAAGAAGGGAATGGAGGCATCACTCTCCCAGATTTCAAACTATACTACAAAGCCATAATAATCAAAACTGCATGGTATTGGAACCAGAACAGACACATGGATTAATGGAACTGAATAGAAAACCCAAAAATAAACCCACAGATATACGGTCACCTAATCTTTGACAAAGGAGCAAAGAATATGCACTGGAGTAAAGAAAGTTTGTTCAATAAATGGTGCTGGGAAAACTGGGTCGCAACATGCAAAAGAATGAAGCTTGACCACTACCTCACACCATGCACAAAAACCAACTCAAAATGGATTAAAGAACTAGACATAAGACCTGAAACCATAAAATACATAGAAGGAAATATAGGCAAAATACTACATGACATGCACCTCAAAGACATCTTTACAGACACATCACCCAAAGCAGTGATAGTGAAGGCAAAGATAAACAGCTGGGACTACATCAAATTAAAGAGCTTCTGCACAGCAAAAAATGGACTCCATATGGTTTAACGATAGGCTGGAGGTGGGTGTGTGAGAAAGAGAAAACTCAAGGACAATCTAAGGATCTCAGTCTGAGAAAATGTAAGGTGATGTTGCTATTGATGGGCTGGGGGAAGATCCAGTGTACAGATTGTTCATCTTTAGTTTAGCACCCCTTAGATGTCTACATGATGATGTTGACTAAGCTGTCTAGAGACTGAGAGGAGTCTGGGTTGCAGATAAAAAGTTGGAGACCTCAGCAAGCAGCTCATATTAGATCCATGAGACTAGAATGTATACCCTTGGGAGCAACTGAGGCTAGAAAAAATGTGAACTTAAACAACTGAAACTCATAGCCCTGAAAGGATTGTTGTTCACAGAACTGATGAAATGCTAGCTTGAAATGTAGGAGGAGAATCAGCCAAGGGTTCTGAGAGTCAAGTGAGGAAAAATGTTTCAAGGATGGAGAATAGTTAATGTCATTACAGATATGTTAAGTTAGATGATGTTTCAGAAATGTTTATTTTAATTAGCAACTTAAAAGGAACCTGAATTAGAACAATTTGGTGGAGTGTTGGAACAAACCCCCCAGATAAATAGAAGGGTTTATCTAGATGAGACATTACTTAAATCTTACCTAAGGTTTACTCTTTATCACTATTCTTTTTGTTGCTTCTGTTACTCTTATTATCTAAATACTTCAGAGTCCTCACTCTGTGTAGGTACATTCTAAATGTCTGGCCACTTCTTTATGTTTTTAAACAACTTTATTGTTTAATAAAGGAAATCTCTGTTTCCTTCTGGATGTATTATAGATTTATTTATTGAGATTTAGTTATATATACCCTTTTAGATGGATTTATAGTCTTTTTATTTATTTATTTTTTTGGTGGGACCATCGCCAGTGGCCGGGGATGAACCGGCGCTACAGAGGCTGCGGGCAGCCTGGTAACCCAGCGCTCAACTGCTGCGCCACCAGGGGAGGCCCTATAGTCTTTTTAAATAGTTATTTTAAAAAATCATTTAGGGGAAATGAGAAGTTATAAACTAAAAACATATCCACACTGACTTTTATAATTACTTATGTAGTTCCTTTTACTGACGTTCTTTACATTCTCATGTGGATTTGAATTTCCATCTACTCTAATTTCATTTCAGCCTGAAGGGCTCCCTCTATTGTGTCTTATTGGATTAGTTTTACTCATGTTGAACTCTGTCAGTTTTTGTTTACCTGGGAATGTCTTCATTTATCCTTTACTTTTGAAGCATTATTTTACAAGAATTCTTGGTTATCATTTTTTTCTCTTTTAGCACTTTGAATAAGTCATCCCATTGCTTTCTGGCTTGTATGGTTTCTGAGATGTCAGCTGTTAATCTTATTGATTACCCCTTGTATATGAGGGAATTTTTGTTCTTCTCTCTTTTTAAGACTGTTTTTATTTGTGTCTTTCACTGTTTGCCTATGATGTGTCTAGGTGTATTCTTTTTGTTTATAATATTTGAAGTAATTTGAGCTTCTTGTATGTATAGATTAATGATTTTCATGAAATTTGGGAAATTTTGACCATTGTGTCTTTTATTGACACTTTTTCAGACACACTGCCATTATTCACATTTGGTATTCTTGATGATACCCTACATGTCCTTAAGGCTCTGTTAAGTTTTCTTAATTCTTTTCACACTGGATAATCTAATAATCAGTTGACAAATCTTTAAGTTTACCATTTTTTTCTTCTGTGAGTTCAAATCTGGTGTTAAGCCCTGCTAGTCAAGTTTTCATTTTAGTAATTTGACTTTTCTGCTTCATTCAATGGTTCTTTTATTTCTGTGTTGATATTATTTACTTGGTGAAATATTGTTGCCATATTTTTCTTGAATTCCTTAGACATGATTTTCTTTTGTTCTTTGAACATGTTTAGGACAACAGATTTTTAAGTCTTTGTCTAGTAAATGCCATGTATAGACCCTTTTGATTGCGTTTCTATTGATTGAGTTTTCTCCTGTGGATGGGGAATATCTTCCTTTTCTTTGGAGTTTTGCTGAAGATTGAACTTTTTAGGTAGCATGATGCGGCAACTCTAGAAATCTATATATAGCTGATTTTTTATTGTTGTTGCTGCAGCTGATGTTCATTTGTTTAATAATTTTCTTGGAATACTTCTGCAAAATCTATGTATCTCATTATAGCCATTGGAATCTGGTTGGTTAACTCATGGAGAATAATAGGCCTGAAGTGAAACATGTGACCCCAATAGGGATGGTATCAAACTAGTGGTTAGAAACTAAAAAGAAGAGCAACTTTTATCCAGGCTTAACTTAATTTTAAAAACAAGCACAGCTATTGATTCACACTTCTCAACATAATCAGATGATCCACCTGTGGTATAATTGTCAAACTATAACTATAACTTCACAATTCAGTGGTCCAAAGTTTGTTTGTTTTTTTAAGTTCATAGGAAGTAGAGAAATAATATGAAAACAGCTCAAGAAATGTATTAACAAGCAACAATATACTAGAAAAGAGGAACATGTAGTTTTGACAAGTAAAAAAACTGAGAGGAAAGTGGTCTACATAGAAAAGTGTGCATCCTGAAAGTCAGGTGTGAAGATTTTAGAGTTAGAATTTATAACTTAAACCTCCCCTATTTCCAGAATAAAAAGGACATTTTGCAATATTTGTATTTCGTGGCTCAGGCATCTACCTCACATAATTCTATTCCTTACTCTTTCTAAGCTTTACTTATTTATTTTTGATTTTTTTAATTGATGCCCAATGAATAATAAGATTTTTTCATTCTACCTGTTGGGAACGGTATTTATTTCCTGCATTATGTGTCCTCCAGCTATTATACCTCTAAATCCTTTGGCATATCTCACTATGACCTTGGATAGCTCTCTTACATGCTTAAACTAATTGAATCTCAGCTACAATCTTGCTGGAGATTTGCTGCATATCTGCAAAGCACACTTTCTCACCCTGTGTAAGCAGATCTTATCTCTTTGATAACATGCAAACTCTTGGTTTACCTGGATTTCTAGCTCTAACTCCTCAACTCAACAAAAACATTGGACTTTGCCTACACTTTCTCATTACAACATCATAGCCTAGAACCTCTGTAGGCATTAATTTGAGAAAGTTGTAGAGTTCACCTTCTTCCCCTGCCTCCAGCTTTCTGTATTTCTGTCCTGTGTTCCCTGGTGTTAACGGTCTTGAACATTGTTGTTTATATGCTTTGTTCATTTTTTCATTGTTTAGGTGGGAGGGTAAATCCAGTCCCTGTTACTCTGTCTTGTACTACAGTAGATAGTTCTTCTATATTATCCTCAATATTTAGAGGACTAAAAAGGGGATGAATGAGGTTAACTTGCTGAAGGACACAGAGAGTAAGTGACAAAACTGAATTTGGATCTAAATGTTTCAGACTCCCAAGATAAAGCTCTTGATCATAAGGCCTTTAAGCTTTCTTATGTAATAGGAATTGATGTATTTAATATTTGATGTATGTAGATTCTACATTAAGAAACATGAACTTTTTATAGAAATGAAAATTGCTTTCCCATTTTCTCTTTTAAAGATAAATGTGAAGAACATGAAGAAAGTAGGATTTTAGTTTCATCTGCATATGAAATTGATATTCGTTCATGTTCTCCTAACTTAATGAAAAACAACATCACTATAATTTGGTATCAAAATGACAGTACAACACCAATATCTGCAGAAAGAAACTCCAGGATTCATCAGTACAAAGATAAGCTTTGGTTTGTTCCTGCAAAGGTAGAGGATTCAGGACATTTCTATTGTATAGTAAGGTAAGAAAGGAATTAAATATGAAAAACTGGTGTTCTAGGTATCTGGAGTAGTTAAGAACAGAAAAAAAATTATTAGTGCTCAATTCACTTGTTTGATTTATTTTAGAAATTCAACTTACTGCCTCAAAAACAAATTAACTACAAAATTTGTGAAGAACGAGCCTCACTTATGTTATAATGCAGAAGCTGTATTTCCACAGAAACTATTCATTGGAGGAGATGGAACACTTGTGTGTCCTTATTTGGATCTATTTAAAGATGAAAATAATGAGTTTCCCAAAATACAGTGGTATAAGGTAATTTCATTTTAAAAGAAATTGGCATTTTACTTTCCCAGCAAATGAAATAGTTTTCTGCCATAGACAATCGAATAAGTCTGTAAAGTAATTCTTAATTTGGCATTTTATTTGTTTTTGAGGGGAAAATTATGAACATTTGAAAAAAAAATCTTTTAAAATATTTATTTATTTATACAAGAACCGGGGTACAGACTGGATGCGCAGGAGGGTGAGAGGATTCACCAGAGGCAAAGCAGGGAACAAAACAGGCAGACTGACAAAATACACTGTTGAGGGGAGCAGCAGGCAAGACAGGAGAGGTCTGCCGCGCCATGTGGGACCCTCGCCAGCCAGCCGGCCAGGATTAAACCTGTGCTGCAGAGACTACAGACAGCTTCACACTGCTGTGCTCAACCACCTGTGCCACCAGCGGAGGCCCATATTTGCAAAAATTTTAACACTGCATGCATTTGATTTAAAGCTCAACAAAGGTCTTGTTATCTGTTATTTTTATTTAATTTAATAAGCTATAGATGAGAAAAGTACACTAGAAATAAAAGATGTTTAAAGATAAGGCTGATTACAAATTTTGGATTTTTAAGAGATAGCTATTTATTATAAAATATGTTATTTTGTATTTTATTAAAATATTAAGTAGTCTTTAAATAATTTAATGGTTATTATAACTTTTAAAAACAGATTGGCTAGCACTCAGTGGAACACATCCTGTTTTTGTACCTTTGATCTACTTAGTCTGTTCGAATTTACATGAGGAATCATCTGGTAGAGATTGATTAATACAAAGTACTAAATATCAGTGAAGAAGGAAGTATAAATTATTAAGGAACTATATTTCCTCAAATATGTTCCTCTTGCAAAATAAATTTGTACCCATCTTTGAAATGCAAAACTCATAGACACAAAAATTTAATATCCTAGGAATATAATTAACTTTTGCCAAAAAATACAATATAAAACTTATATGCAAGGAATCTTTATATATATGTATATATGAAAGTTATATAGGTAATTATATATATATTGCACTTGCCAATGTGAAAAAGTGGAGTTTCTTAGCTGGTAGACTGGGTAAAGTGATTCATTGGTTTTCAACAACTCTTTTTTCCCTCTCCCTTTATCTAGGATTGCAAACCTCTACTTCTGGACAATGTAAATTTCACTGGATCACAGAATAAGCTCCTCATAAGGAATGTCACTCAAGCACATAGAGGACACTATACTTGTCATGCAACCTACATACACTTGGGGAAGCAGTATCACATCACCCGGGCAATACAATTTACTACTGTAGGTGAGTCATAGTTCTGTCCCTTGTAGTTGAAATCCAAGAAGGCCCAGAAACTGTGGTTCTCATATTACCTTCAATTTCCATGAAGGAACTAAATCCAAGGGAAGTTTGAGGTTTGCCAAATGTCCATGGCTTTTGTTTAGTTTTTTTTTGATGCTAAATACTATGTGAATGTTATTCTTTTCTGCTCAAATGCAGTGCTAACTAAACAGACAGAATGAGTTATGCTTCCAGCTGAGCTCCAAGGCTTATTCTTTGCCATGCCTACAGATGGTTCTTTGAGACTGCACTGGGCCTGCCTTGGATCTGTGTATAAGCTCTGGGAATCTTCACTATTGCATGTCTAGCAGTGAGCATCACTGGCACAGTGCAGTGAATGCTAGTGGACTTTTAAATAAATTACACTCCCAGAATCTTCCTTTCATTAGTACCATGTTAGCTTAGTTTACTTAACCTCTCTTGTCCTGCTTCCTCCTCTGTGAGGAGAGCATGCATCTTCCCAAGGTTGTTGGGAAGATGAGAGATCAGGTGTGCTTCGCTGGTGCTCATGTACCTGGTATCAAATAGATGAGCAACAAATAGGTGTAAGATGATTTTTCTTGTTAATTATTCTGGGGCTTTCAATGATATATTAATGATGCTTTATATTAAAAATAACTTTATAACAAAATAAATCAAAATGCACTCCTAGAAATTACCTGGGGAGGGGCTGAATGCTTTATGTAAATATCAGGATTTTGTAAGCTTTCAGCAATATAAGAAGAGCTGTTCTGACCAAGACTGAAAGTTAAAGGGACCTCTATCAATAATTATATGCTGGGACTAAGGCATAAATAAGGGTATCCCAGGTAAATCCAGAACATGATCACCCTGCAGAGAGTGAAGTTTTCTTAATTCTATAATTACATTTTTCTAATGATAGCTTTATTGAATCAAAATTAATTCCTTGCCTAAATCCCATAGGCATCAGTGAATCATAATTTTCAACAGACCTTGTGTTATAACCATCTTGTCACTCCAGTTACCTCTTTTGGTCATTGAGCAGTGCTAGCTTGATTTTCTTGAGATGCAGCAACCAGACCAGCAGATAGAAATTTAGGAAAAATGGAGACCAAGGAAATTTAACAAAATAGGTTAAATATATTTTCAATATTCTCCTTTTCCTTTTCTGATCTCATACATAGAAATAATATAAAAATATTATAAATCTATTTATAACATAAAATAATCAGGGTGAGGTCATATTTTGTTTTCTTTTAAAGGTATATCCAAAAATATTTACGAGTACCTACTATGTGCCAGACACTATTCTAGGATTACATTAGGGAACTGAAGAGCCTACATCCTACTCTGAGTAAACATTTTTTGGATTACAGTAGAATACATTCATGTTTTCTTAGCATTCAAGTTTGTAGTTTCTCAGGATTGATTGAAGATCAACCTTATACTTTTCTATGAATTTTAATAAATTATGCCAAATTGCTTGGCATTCTTCAATAACTGTGTGTATTTCACTCTTGGGATATTGCTCAAGTTACTAAATATAGGCCCACCTAGCACTGAGCTGTTCTGGCTAGTAATACTCCATCCAGGGAATTGCCTTTCTATGACTTCAGGTTTTTCTTCATTTGCTTTAATAGAAACACTTGTCTGGAGACCCCAGGCCCTGGCAATATGTGTGTTTTATTTGTAGCACCAAACTCGGTGGATTCACAGAGACCTACACTTTGTAGCAGCTACCACAGTTTTGTGGTGGTCTCTGTGTTGACCTCCCATCTTTACCTCCAGCCTTCTGTCTCCTGCCATATATGCTTTGGGTACTCAAAGGACTATCTGACCAGATGCCATGGAGGATATACATTGGTATATTTTGCCTAGAGTTGTTGTCACATGAGAGTCTAATCTATACAAGACTGAGAAGCCCTGTGGATATTTTTCTTTCAGAGGACAACAAACCTAGGAGACCTGTGATTATTAGTCCTGCTAATGAGACTTTGGAAGTTGGCCTTGGTAAGTGGAATCCAATCAGGATATGCTGAAATCACTATTCTGAATTAAGATAAACTTCATCTTTACTACACAAAACCTGAACAGTTTACAGACTGTATCTATAATTAGAGGGAAAGTGGCACCATTTAAGTTTTCACGTTTCTCTGGGTTTCCTGCATCTAGTTTGACTTGCCCACCTTTACTTTCCTATGAACACTATTACCCATGAAAGCAGCAATCAAAGGCTGAGTTCAACAGACCTGAGAATAATAAGTGTAATTTATTAGGAGTAGGATGAATTTCTTATGAAAAGTAAGCTTTGAAGCAGAATATAAGCTACAGTCCTAAAAGTTATCCTAGAAAAATACTTTCAAGTTAATAAAAGTTTTTTGTTTCAAGAACAAGACATAATTCTGTAAGTCTTCAGATCTATGCCATATAATACAATAGTCGCCAGTCACAGTGGCTATATACATGCTATTAAAAATTAAGTAAATTAATTTAGTTCAAATAAAAATTATTCAGACACATTTGCCATATTTTAAGGACTTAATAGTCACGTACAACTATAGAATATTTCTGCTATCTGGAAAGTTCTGTTGGATACCACTGGTCCAAACATAAAAAATAGTTTGTGTTATAGGAGAAAAAAATCAGGATGGATATAGATTTTTCTTCTGTGATGGTAACTGCATGAAGACAACGAAAAATTGTACAAAATTAGATGGTAAAAGATTGTGTTCTTGTTAATTCTTTGAATTAACATAGATAACTATGAATTCTGTACTTGACCAAGTTGTTATTATGGTAGAAGATGATATAAAGACATTCTAATATATAAACAAAGATGTAAAAAATTAATATTAAATATAGGCCAATTGAATCTAGAGCAGCATTTCTCAGAATCTTTTTTTTTTTATTATTATTGTCCCCTTGTAGAGTCTTAGAAAACATTTTTCCCCTATCTTGAAATTTTAATCCCTCAGATATATTGTATATCTATTGATGTAGTATAATGGCCCTTGGAGAGGCACAAATCGTTGCAATGACTAAGATTTTTTTTTTTTGCATAATTTAAGGTTCAAAATCCGAGGTTGTATTGATCTCCAAATCTAAATAGTTTCATATAAGGAAGTAATTGTTTATATAAATTAAAAATTTAACAGTTATTTTAATAAATGTGATGGATATATACATCTCCCTATCAATTGATTATCCTGAAGGGTGACAAATAGACATTTGATAAGATCCAATGGTTAACCAAAAATATTGGGTGCTGGGTGTTTTGGGGATAAATGGCACTCACATGCCCTGTTTGACAAAGATAGACTGATAGCTTCCCTTGGGAAAGGGGTTTGGTTTTGAAAATATGTATGTCTTTTAACTTGATTGTACTTTCAGATTTTTTTTTAAAGATTTATTAATTTATTTATACAAGCACTGGGTACAGTCAGAAGCTCGGGAGGGTGAGTGAATTCACCAAAGCCAGAGCAGGGAGCAGAACAGGCAGACAGACGAAGTACACTGCTGAGAGGAGAGGAGGGCGGCAGGAGAGGTCTGCGCCATGTGGGACCCTCCCCGCAGCCAGGGATCGAACTGCTGCTGCAGAGGCTGTGGGCAGCTTCGCAGCCCAGCGCTCAACTGCTGTGCCACTGGGGAGGCCCTGTACTTCAGATTTTTAATTCATAGTTGAGGATGTACAATATCTGCAAACTAGAATGTTCACTGGAATATTACTCATCACCCAAAATTAGAAATATTATTTAGCAATAGGAAAAATCTAATCAGAATATATCTTTATTAGGGAATACTACATAGCCATGAAACCGGCTATTTTGGAAGGGTAACCATGTGATCTGAAATTTCCAATATACAATAATTACATACAGGAAACAATAACACTCCATTATAAAAATTGTGTTTGTATATGGAAAAGTTAGGAAATGAGATACATAAAGTTACTAATAGTGGTTATCTCTGGATGGTATTTTAAAGGAAATTTTTCTTTTCTTTGTGTTTTTCTATAATAGAAAATTTTATTTAATAACCATTTGTTTAGATAGATCAGGTGAAAATCAATTGATGTTGTGTTTAACAATACATTGCTTTGCAGGATCTCAGCTACAATTGATCTGCAATGTCACTGGCCAGTTGACTGACTATGTTTACTGGAAGTGGAATAACTCATTTATTCCTGACGATGATCCAATACTGGTGGAGGAGTATAGACAGTAAGTATGCTGAGAACCAATCATGTGATAAAGTTTTGATATCAAATTCCATGTCATGGTCTCTGTAACCTTGATGGTTTAATCTAATAGCAAGGATTAGTTGGCAGTTATTTGGTTCTTAATCCTTTGCTGCCCTTTTTGAATTTTTGCTAAGTGAAATAAGATTTATAAGATCTTGAACAGTTAAGGTAAAAATTCATGTAATCTTGGTGCAAAATCCAGGCTACTTGGAAGGTTTTCTCTTAAATCGTTAAATACGTGTGTGTGTGTGTGTGTGTGTGTGCAATGTATATATCAATATTAATTCAGGCATATGTATCAACAGTCCAATGAAGCAGTTTTCCCGAATTATTTTTCATGTTATTCTTTTCCTTAAAATACTGAATAGTCTTGTTAACATTCACTAAGTGGGGCCAAAATCAGTTATAGTAGGGCTTAAGTCTCTGATGGCTCCTATTATTACTAACAGCCTTATTGTTATACTGTGCTTAGGGCTGGTGATAAATTTTGCTGTAATTTATGTGACAAATAAAGAGATAAACCATGTATATATTTCTTATGTATAGTTGTGCAATTTCCTTAAACAACCTTATTTATTCTCTCTTTTTTTTTTTGAACAGGATAAAAAATCCTTCAGACAAAAAAAGGAGTATAATCATAACAGAGCTTAACATTTCAGCAGTGGAAAGTAAATTTTATGTACACCCATTTATCTGCTTTGCCAAAAATACAAAGGGTATGGATGTAGCATATATCCAATTAATACATCCAGGTAAACAACATAACTGTTTATTTGAATTGCAGTATTATTTTATTGCATGACCTTGTTTTTGCAATGCTATTTCCTCTGCCCATGACAATCTTAAATTTCTCTTAAACTGAGTGGTTTCTATTCCTCTTTCACTTCTGTCTTCTTTCACAACTATCTTCTAGGAAACTTTTGTGTCCCATGGCCTGTGCTTCACACAGATCTTTGCCCAAATAAATGAGGTTAGGGTCTCTGTTACCGAACTTGATGGTGCCATAGACTTAGTGTTCTTTACTTGATGATAAATTCTTGATGTGCACACATTTATCTTATTAATAACTATTTCCAGAGTTAGTATCAGCTTAAGTTTTGTATGTTGTAGGTACCTAAAATAAAATTTTTAGGTAAATGACTATGTGATGGCTGCACAGGGGAACCCTATATATCCAGTTTCCGGGGAGGATATCAGATATTACAGTTTTTAAGAATTGTATAATCAAACATAGTATTGAAAACAGTTGTGAAATATTTTAAGATTATAGTTAAATTAAAAGCAAGATATATATGACTGTGCAATTGAAAGATAATCTACAAATGATTAGAATTAGTCAATGAATTAATTAGATGTGAGTAATCATAATTAGTAAATTTAACAAGATTGTTAGTCTATATGTCTATATAATATTTCTGTGTATATATGTAAATATCAAGAACAAAGAAATAGAAATTAATTTAAAACAGACCATTTAGAATAGCATCAGAAATATAAAATAGTTAGAAATAAATACAGCAAAACATGTCAAGATCTCTAAAACACAAAAAACTTTATTGCAATAAATTCGAGAACTAATAGATGGAGGGGTAGTCACATGGATTGAATGACAATGTTATAAAGATACCAGTTCTTCCAAAATGAATCTATAGTTTCAAAACAATTCCAATCAAAATTTAGCAGTATTTGTATAAGTGTGGGTATATTATTGGGGGCAAGTTTATTCTAAAAGTCATATGGAAATGTAAAGTTCCAACAATAGTCAAAATAGTCTTGATTAAAAGCAATACATCTGGAAGATTTATCCTACAGATATCACAATCTTGTATGAAACAATAGTAATTAAGACTGTAAATGTGAACCTGCAGTTGGGCTCATTGGATGTTGGAGTTCAGTTGGGCCACTTGATACCAAATGATATAGCTTGATTTCTACTTCAGATTCCAATCTATTGCAGATGGATCAAAGACCTAAATTGGAAAAGTAAAATAAAAGCTAATTGATAGTCTTTTCTGGTTGCCTGTATTGTCTCTAACATTAAGAAGTACTTTCTTGGGCCTCCCCGGTGGCACAGCGGTTGAGCGCTGGGTTGCAAAGCTGCCCGCGCCCGAGACGCTGGTTCAATCCCCGGCTGCTCCCCGGCCACCGGAGGAGGGTCCCACATGGTGCGCAGACCTCTCCTGCCGCCCGCTGCTCCCCTCAGCAGTGTGCTTCGGTCCTTCTGCCTGCTCTGCTCCCCACTCTGGCTCTGGTGAATTCTCTCACCCTCCCGTGCTTCTGACTGTACCCAGTGCATGTATAAGTAAAACAAACAAACAAATAAATAAATAAATAAATAAAGCATGCCTCTACTAAAAAAAAAAAAAAAAAAAAAAAAGAAGTACTTTCTTCTTTTTTCCTTCTTCTCCATCACTCTCCCTCTTCTCCTGTCTTTCTTCCTGCCCCTCCTAAACTATAGTCACTGGGAGGATAATTAGAAAGTGAAGCCAAGAGAATGTGGTCATTTGAATCATTCCATTATGTTTCCCTCACTCACTGTTTGGTTTTTTTTTTTTTTTTTGACATACAATCAAAATTTGGTTATTTGGCACATACATAAGCACATACACATGTAATGCTCCATGAGGAGAAAACAGGATTTATTACAATGTCTGTGGAACATTACAAAAGTTTAAAAATGTACTTGGTCAAATGAAAACTTTAATAATTTACCAAAACTTGAGTTAATAAACTGTATTCTTTCAACAGAATCCAATAAAACTTGGTTCAACAGTGAAAAGTAAACCAAAAATGTTTTTTTTTAATAAATTGAGGAACATTCCAATAAATAACCCCTTAATCAAATAGGAAACCACATTAAAAAACAAATGTTCTCAAATGTAATAACAAAGAAAATATTTCCTGAACAAAACCGGGGGGATCAAACTAATGTTTATAGAAAATTGTATAGCTGTATATGATAGTAAATGTAATGCTGAAAAAAGTCCAAAACAGAATGATTAATGTATATAACCCCAGAAATTAGAAAAAGAAAAGCTAAATAAACCAAATGAAAGCAGGAGGTGAGTGTTAATAAAGATAAAAGCTTATGTTACCATCCCCTAGCTCTCAACTCCCCCACTCTACTGTTATAACTCCAGCATCTCTTGCTGGCTTTTCTTTTTTTTAAGATTTATTTATTTATGCATACAAGAGCTGGGGTACAGGCCAGAGATGCGGGGGTGAGAGGATTCACCAGAGACAGAGTGGGGAACAGAACAGGCAGACTGACTGAAATACACTGCTGAGGGGAGCAGCGGATGAGACCGGAGAGGTCTACTGCACCATGTGGGTTTCTCTCTGGCCAGGTGGGGATTGAACTGGTGCTGCAGAGGCTGCGGACTGCTTCATAGTACGGTGCTTAACCCCTTGCGCCACCAGGGAGGCCATCTTGTTGGCTTTTGAGTGATTTTGCCTTTGTCTTGTTTTACTATGGAGTGCTGTATCCTATGTTTGGCACTTTTTCTTTATTATTGTGTATTATACTGTTAAGGTAGAAATTTAATTCAGCACACATTGGTTGTATATGGTATCCATTCTAGATTGCCTTGTACATTAGTATCCATTAGTAAATGATGATAATGACTGGGTAAATACTGTCTCAGATTTGGAATTGCAGACCAATTCAATTCCAAATATGGTTTCTCTGGGATGATATTTAAATTGTTGTGCTCAAATTTTAATTATTTTGGTTCTAAAAACTTTACCCTCTTTTCTGTTATAGCCCCTGATTTCCAGAAGCATACAATTGGTCTACTGGTCATGTTAACAGTAGTAATTACATGCTCTGTTTTCATCTATAAAATCTTCAAGATTGATATTGTGCTTTGGTACAGAGATTCTTGCTATGATTTCCTTCCCCCAAAAGGTACCGTTTTGCATTCTATGCAATATTTTCTTATTGGAGAGAGGGGATTGTTAAGATATAGAGGATGATTAAGAGAATATACTCTTTTAATGTGACATGTATAAGATTAGACATTACTCTTATAATTAGTTTCATGACTGAATAACATTGTTTTTCAAATTACTGCTTTAGTGTTTGTAATGGTGGATAAATAGGCATCTAGACCATCTCTTTATAAATCCAGTAATTCAGAAACCATTGTTGAAAGTCCACTCTATGCTGAGTAGGACATACATACAGTCTGCCCTCAAATAAAGAAAGGACTGCATTTTCATGCAGCAGGGAAGTGCTGCCTTTCTCTTATGCTTAAATATTGCAAAAGGCTAAAACAACATTAATATGTAAAAGGAAGCACTGATAGAAATCAGGGCTGAGACATTTAGGGAAGAAAATAAGAACAGGGAGATAAGAATAGTTCCCATAGTAAGAGAAAAAGTGTCTCTTTATGTGAGTTGGTCATCAAATGATGTAAGAACAGATTTGAAATAAAAACACAATAAACAGAAACTTAGAAGGGGTAAACGCTTTAAAAGATATTATACTTTTGATATCGCTGCTTCATTTATACCATCATACAAAAAGTAATAATTAATTCTTTTTTTAAAGATTTATTTATTTATTTATTTATTTATAAACACACTGGGTACAGTCAGAAGCACGGGATGGTGAGAGAATTCACCAGAACCAGAGGGGAGAGCAGAGCAGGCAGACTGACGAAGTACATTGCTGAGGGGAGCAGCGGGCGGCGCACCATGTGGTACCCTCGCCCGGCGGCTGGGGATCGAACTGGCGCTGTAGAGGCTGCGGGCAGCTTCGCAACCCAGCGCCCAACCACTGCGCCACCGGGGAGGCCCCGTAATAATTCATTCTTTAATGCAGATTTGTAATACTGACTTTACCAAATCTCTTGTTTTATTTTGATCATATTTCGCCCTTAGCTTCAGATGGAAAGACCTATGATGCATACATACTATACCCAAAGACCCTTGGGGAAGGGTCCACCTCTGATTCAGATATTTTTGTGTTTAAAATCTTGCCTGAGGTCTTGGAAAAACAGTGTGGATATAAGCTGTTCATTTATGGAAGGGATGATGATGTTGGGGAAGGTATGTATATAATGGAATAAAGCAAAAGTCTTCCTGTTAAACTAATTACTAATGTTGGGTTTCATCTTTCTGGAAGACAAACATAGGTATACATATTTGATCATCTTAACAGCCTCTGTGGGTGTATGATGATGGTTTTCACATTTATTTAATGCAAATCCTCTACTTTAACTAGCTTCATTCAGTTTAGTTTTGGAAAACTTAGCCACAAGATTGATCCAATAGTTATGTTACAACTGATATACAATGTAATAGGAATGGTATAGATCACATGATTTAACAAGGTTTTTACACTTCTACTGAAACTATTCTGAGTTCTAAATGAAGTATTCAACATTGATGGGCCAATATTTGAGTTAGACTGTAAAATGGGGAACTCCCTTAATTTTAAGGTGAGAAAAAAGGCAGTAGGAAGCATAGGAATGTTGGCTTTGGTTCTAGGAGAATTACTATAAATTCTAATTGTACTTACCATGCTGTGCTTTATGTGTTTCAGACATTATTGAGGTCACTAATGAAAACATAAAGAAAAGCAGAAGACTAATTATCATTTTGGTTCGAGAGACATTGGGATTCAGCTGGCTGACGAGTTCATCTGAAGAACAAATAGCAATGTACAATGCTCTCATTCAAGATGGAATTAAAGTTGTCCTGCTTGAGTTGGAGAAAATCCAAGACTATGAGAAAATGCCAGAATCCATTAAATACATTAAGCGGAAACAGGGGGCCATACGCTGGTCAGGGGACATTAGAGCTGAGTCTCAGTCTGCAAAGACACGGTTCTGGAAAAAGGTCAGGTACCAACTGCCAGTCCGGCAGCAGCGGCCTTTGCTCAAGCATCAGTTACTGTCTCCAGGCACTAGGCCAGACTCTAAGGAGGAACTGCAAAGGGACGTCCAAGTGCCTCTTGGATAGTGGGGCAAGCTGGGCCCAGAGTCCTCGGGTGACTCCTGTTTTATTGCATTACAGACTGGACAATGTCCCTAGTGACTGAGATAGTCATTACATGCATCTCATGCTCCCTTATACCAAGGTCACCTGAATTGGAATATTAAGGGAGCAGAACATGGTGACAATAGGTCAGGACAATTCAGAACAGAGGGTTTGGAAAGGCAACAAAGGCCCTCTTAATGTTTGAACTGCTGAGCAAAGGCACTGGAGCAGCAAACAAGAGGAAAGGACATACAGGAGAGATATATCATGGACAGGTTTCATGAAGCTGTTTGAAGTCCCAGAGTGGAGCTGTGACCCAGTCTGGGGACTGCAGGGCCCTTGAGGGGCCCTTCTGAGCAGTGCAGCTGGGCAAGTGAGGCCAATATTTCACCCAGGAAAGTGGAAGTATTCTTCCACTTCCATTTGCTTTGCATTAGCACAGGTGTTAGCATTTAGCAGTTTCCAAATCTGAATTTCAGTTTGCAGACCTTTAAAACTACCATTTCAATAAACTAAGGGATTCTCCAGCATTCCAAGGTTTTGAAATAATGGCTTTCCACTGGAGAGGGAGAATGTCAGTAAGAGTGGTGGAAAATTGGTGAGACCTTACTGTTTTCCACCTGCAATGACCATTCTGTTCTATTTTCTCCTTCATTTTACTTGACTCAGCCATTATTTGGAAGGATAACTTCCAAGTCACTTCTTCCCTCTGCTCTCTCACACACGTGACCCAGATATGGCCCATCCTTCATAAAACATTTCTTTGGTTTGATCTTACTCTTGCTAAAATACCTCCTCCAGACTCCTCTCATTAAAGGAGCCCAAGTTATTCTAGTAGCATTTCGCTACAGCCCATCCTCACACCTGCCCCCTCTGCCCTGCTAGTGAATTCCCAGGTCAGCCTCCCACAACTAGGATCTGGCCCTGGGTCTGCTCCAACTCTGCCTCTGCCCTGTCTTCTCTGCTGCCTTCTACAATTTTCTCTGGCCAGTCAGAAATATACTGAAATTCAAAATTTTCTCCAACTCCATTTTCTTTAAGAGACTGCCCTAAGATACTTTTTCCTATCAGTCTGATTCTAAGTTAGCTGTTAGCTATCATGTGAGAAGGTTGGTCATTCTGTCTCCAGCAAGGATCCTGCACTCCCAGGAAGGGGCTGTGGGTATGTCTTTTTCTCCGAGATGCCCTTACAAGTAATTTGCACGTATGACAAAGATTTGTATAGTGCTTTATTGTTTAAAAGGGTTCACAGATTATTTAATTTTTAACAATTATCCTAATTTTATAGAGAGCAAGTTACCTGTTATTTTTAAAAATTGCACTTAGTATTTTGGAAATTAAACTGGCATCTCCATCGCTGGCATTTAGTTCATTGTTTTGCATAGTTGATTTCAGGTCAATAAATACCCCTTCAGCTATACTGCTCTCACTTTTGTGAGAAGAAATTATAGTTTTCTAGGAAGGTGGCTGAGTCTAGGAATGCTTTTATTTAAGAAACCAATTCCGAACTTCTGAATATTGGAATTAACAAAAATCGTGTAATATTTAGATTATATGAAAAACATTCCTGCTACCATATATTCTTTCCTCAAAGGTAAATATTTCTTAGTAAATTAAAAATGAAAGCAAATTTTATGTGGTATGGAAAATATTTTTATAACTTGACAGTCCTCAGGCTAATTAGAGGAACCCTGGAAAACTGCAAAGCCAAGTTCATGAGCCACTTAGTGAAAGGCAAATGCAGTGTTAAAGTTGTATAAACAGAGGCAGGCCTCCTGTTTTTTTAAAATTTTAATATTTAATATTATAGGTTAATACAAACTTTTATTTGCTATTTCCTCTCTCCACCCCCCTGCAAATTTGTGCTAGTTAGACAAAAACAGAATTTAATACTTTTACTCTTCTCTCTCTCCCTGTTTTCTCTGGGATCTGATCGGATGGCGTTGAGTAGCAGTGCTATTAGGGAGCTGCTGTTTTCAAAGAAAGTTTGGGGGTTCACATAGATTGCAGTCAGAAGTCTGGGGGGATGAACTGGGGCCTGACATAGCCCCAAAAGGCCATCACTTTAGTTTGTCTATTAGTGCACAGACTGAGGGGTACCCCTTGACTCCTAAACTGGAAGCAAAGATGTAAAAAGAACTTTAATAGAATTAGTGTGTTGCTTGTAGTGCCAAGAAAACCATTTCAAAACTTAGAACTAGCAGTAAAATTAGCCAGAAAGTAAAGGAGAAGGAAACAACCAAGAATTACAAGTGGCATTAGAGTTGGAACTTAGGGAGGAACACAAACAAGATGGGGGTGGAGAGAGGAGCCCCAATAGGAAAGTGCAGTGCCACCTAGTCACACTCATGCTCAACCGAGGGAGGAGTCAAGAGGAAGAAGCTGCATTCCCAGGTCCCTAGAACTTTCTTTGTTTTATTGTTTTCCCTCCAAGCCTTTTAAACCTCTTCCTTTTAGGCCTTTTCCATTAATTAGATTTCACTGCCTAATCTGATGGGAATTGTTTTTGTCAACCTAAGTGTTCAAGAAAAGCTGCAAATGTAACAAAGTGTTTCATTTCCAGTTGTTAAAACAGATTTAGCAGAATTTATTTTTTCCTCTACTTGCCTCTGCTTACTTTGTGATAAAAAAAAAGGTATTGAGCCATTTTTTTTCAAAGACATTTTGATAAATTGTATTTGTACTGGATAAAATGAAGGTTTTTTTTTTTAACTTGTATAATTCAGCAAATATCAACTATTTTTCTGTTGTAGTAAAACACCAGATTCATGTACAGCAAATATTACTGAATCACAGTACCATACTTGTTTTCATTAAAACCTGGTATTCAGTATTGAGTATTGTCATGGTTACTGGGCAAAGGATCTGAAAACTATCATTGGGTCAGAATTTCTCTTACTGGTTCTGGGTCCAGCCACCTCCTACCACAGATACAAACAAAAGGGCTGTTGGTGCAGGAAAAAAAACTATTATTCTAAAAACGGGATAAAAGAAGAGAGTTTTAAGTCCAGTTACTGACAAAAGATGTGAGGTAGAGTTGCACAGAGGAGTCAGCAAGGTGTGGCAGAGGTCTGCACTGCTGAAGTGAGTTGGGTTTCCCCCTTGGGGACCATGGCCTGCCACCTACCCAGCTGCAGTGTGGCCTTTGTAGATAGCAGCTCCAATGGCAGCGCAAGCCCACATTCACGGTTCCCCTTAAAATGCTCATGTAGGGCCTCCCCGGTGGTGCAGCGGTTGAGCGCTGGGTTGTGAAGCTGCCCGCAGCCTCTGCAGCACTGGTTCGATCCCTGGCTGCTCCCCGGCCACTGGAGGAGGGTCCCACATGGTGCGCAGACCTCTCCTGCCGCCCGCTGCTCCCCTCAGCAGTGTACTTCGGTCCTTCTGCCTGCTCTGCTCCCTGCTCTGGCTCTGGTGGATTCTCTCACCCTCCCGCGCTTCTGACTATACCCAGAGCTTGTATAAATAAATAAATAAATCTTAAAAAAAAAAAAAGGCTCATGTAATGGATGCTCTGTTCTTTTCTCTTGCTAGCAGCCCCCTTGCTCAAGATGTTAGGGGTCAAGGCACTTGCACAGACGTCATTCTGTCTTGCTTGGGAGGTGTCTAGACCTGATAGAGTAGAGTTCATTCAGCCTCTCTTCTGCATTGAGCCACTCCAACATCAATATCTTTTTCTTTGACTATCCTCTCCTAGGCTTAAGGACACACTTCCTGTCTAATGTAGGGCAAGGACATCTTCTGCAGGGGGAGCTCAGAGGCTGATAACAAAACATGAACTCTAGTCCCCTATCTGTAGCCTCAGTAGCCTCAACTGTACTCCATTTGCTTGCTTGTTTCTAAACGAATTAAAGTGTCTTATTAACTCTTTTTTTAAAAGAATTATTTATGCATACAAGAGCTGGGGTGCAGGCCACGGTGGATGGGGGGGGTGAGAAGATTCACCAGAGACAGAGTGGGGAACAGAACAGGTGGCTTGACTAAAATGCACTGCTGAGGGGAGCAGCGGGCAAGACTGGAGAGAGGTCTGCTATGCCATGTGGTTAGCTCCCTGGCAGGGGGATGGAACTGAACTGGTGCTACAGTAGCTGTGGATTGCTTCATAATGCTGAGACTGCCATTTGCACCACCGGGGAGGCCCCTTATTAATTCTTTACTTGTCCAAAAGAAGACAGGAGCACTATTGGTATAGCTTTTACATTTTACAAAACTTTCCTTTTTTTTTTTTTTTTTTTTAATTTTCTAGAGGCATGTCTTATTTATTTATCTATTTGTTTGTTTGGTTTATACATGCACTGGGTACAGTCAGAAGCCGGGAGGGTGAGAGAATTCACCAGAGCCAGAGCAGGGAGCAGAACAGGCAGAAGGACCGAAGCACACTGCTGAGGGGAGCAGCGGGCGGCAGGAGAGGTCTGCGCGCCATGTGGGACCCTCCTCCGGTGGCCTGGGAGCAGCCGGGGATCGAACCGGCGCCACAGAGGCCGCGGGCAGCTTCGCAACCCAGCGCTCAACCGCTGCGCCACCTGGGAGGCCCAACTTTCCATTTATTTTTGCCTTTGCTGTAGGAAATGAACAAAATGGCTAGCTTGATCTTCAAAATGTAAGTGACTAATGATAGTGTGTGATTGAGGGGCACCCAGAGACCCCAAATTTTTAAGGGGTACATGCTCTAAGGGATCCACCATCTGTATACAAAGTGACTCTTAGTGTGAAATATCTTTAATAAAAGTAGTGTGCATAAAAAAAAAAGTGGTGTGCATAGAAAGAGAAGAAAGGATATTCCTAATAACAGTTTCTCAATAAAACATTCCAAATTGCCCATCCCCTTGTGAGCCATAATGTATTAGAAAAAGAGAATCTTACTGGATCTGTGCAAATAAACACATTGCTATGAAAACTATAAATACTTATAAAGTTCACATTTTGGAGTATCAGGGAAGATAGAAAGTAAATGTCTCAGTTTTGCTTACACATTAAATTCACAAAAAAAGAATCAATTTACCATCACTGCAGATCATAGCTCAATGACATAAAAGAAAACTAAACATAAAATATTTCAAACAAAGTCATTAAAAATGACTTCCTAAGAAAGACTCTTTGGTTCTAAAGGTAGGGGCAGAATATCCTTGTCACAATTTCCTAAGGCAAGATATTTTTCTGGTCTGGAGAAAAGTTTGTCACAGGAACTTCAGCAACATTAGATGCATGGCAACGTGAAGACTATATTCTTTTTTAATGCATCCAATGGGTGCAATAAGAATCCCTAACTGGGTGAGATTTCCTCTTCCCATAAGGAAGGTGTGATTTGCTAGTAGGCCTATAATTTGGAATGGGCCGCGACAGAAGCAGCCCTCAAGCCTAACAAAGATGAATAAACTCTTGGCAGGTCTATGAAGAGATCCCAAAACTGGAAGTGGAATTAAACTGGTGGGGTGCTGTGCTGGGTGAGTACAGGGGTGCTATTACCACTTACTGTATGTGTGCAACATGTTAAAACCACAGGTTGTGAGGGCTTCCAAGTCTTGATTGTTGCACTATGCTGTGCCCCATTATAAGAGAGTGGAAGCTCTACCCAAGACATAGTTAGGTTCTATTCCAACCCTGTGGCTTTTTTATTCTCTAAATTTAATGTAAGATTTTTTTTCGAAAAAGAACAGAGACACATTCAGGGGCCTCCCTGGTGGCGCAAGTGTTAAAAATAGCACTGTCAAGCTGTTGCCAGCCATTGCAGTACGAGTTCAATTTCCCAGGCTGCTGGCCAGGGAGGTGACCCACGTGGTGCAGCAGACCTCTCCTGTCTCACCCACAGCTCCCCTCAGTAGTGTATTTCAGTAGACCTTCCTATTCTGCTCCCCACTCTGGCTGGTGAATCCTCTCACCCCCCTCACCTCTGGCCTACACTGAGATCTTGTATGCATAAATAAATAAATATTTGGGAAAAAAAAAACAAAGACACATTCAAATGAATCCAAATTGGGTGTCCCTATATTCATCTCCAAAAGTAGGCCTAAAACCTAGCCACTACATCTCTTCCTCAGTCTACTACAGTAGTCTCTAAGCTGGGGCCATGTTTCTCCTCTTGTCACTCACCACTCACAGGCAATTCTTTACACAGCACCTAGAACAAATTTTCTGTGACTTTGTATTAAAAAACAACCTACATTTAGAAAAGGACATATTAGCGAACATCTCCATGAAGTATCACAGACAGAATGTATGCAAGCTGCCAGCACCCAAGTCAAGAGATGATGATGACTGACAAAGAGAATGCATGTTTTTAACCCTCGCCACCGCCTAAGTCACTTATTGCCCCATCCCAAGGGGAACCCTATCCCACTTTCAACAGCATATGTTAATTTTGCCTTCTTTTGAATTTTATATAACTGGACTCATGGACTCATGTAGTATGATAGATTTTTTTTTAATTTTTTTTTAATAGAGGCATGTTTTTATTTATTTATTTGTTTGCTTGTTTGTTTGTTTTGTTTATACAAGCACTGGGTACAGTCAGAAGCGCGGGAGGGTGAGAGAATTCACCAGAGCCAGAGCAGGGAGCAGAGCAGGCAGAAGGACCGAAGTACACTGCTGAGGGGAGCAGCGGGCGGCAGGAGAGGTCTGCGCGCCATGTGGGACCCTCCTCCAGTGGCCAGGGAGCAGGCAGGGATCGAACCAGTGCCACAGAGGCCGCGGGCAGCTTTGCAACCCAGCGCTCTACCGCTGCGCCACCAGGGAGGCCCAGTATGATAGATTTTTAAAAAAAATATTTTCTTTTGCTTGACATTGTATCTGTGTGATTCATCCATATTATTGCCTGTATTCATACATAGTTATTTCTCATGGCTGTGTAAACTTATATCATGTTAACCTATTGTTGATAGGCATCTGGCTAATTTTTAGTTTGGCTATTATGACCGCTGCTGTTATGAGCATTCTATCCAATGTCTATTTTGATAAACACAAGCACACATTTCAATTCCTTGTATCCTGGATCAAACTGGATTTGCTGAGTTAGTTTTAGTAGATGCAGTAAGTCCTCACTTAATGTCATCCATAGCTGCTTGGAAACTGTGACTTTAAGTCTTATGATGTATAATGAAACCAGTTCCTTGAACAAAACATTGTTTCATTCAGTTTCATTTAATGTCAGCCAGTATTCTATTTTCTCATCAACCTTGCAATGAAACTGTATAAAAAATCTCCTAAGAGATTGTGCTACTTATACTCCCACTGGCAGTATAGGCCACTTCAGTTATTCCACATCCTTACCAAGGTTTGGTATTGGCAATTTGTATAATTTTAGTCATTTTGGTGAATTTTTAATGGTCAATATGACATCTAAAAATGTAATTAAGATTATATCTCTTTTCTGCTTTAAAACTTCTAGTAGCTTTTAATTTCACCTAGAATAAGGTATAACCCTCTTTTTATTGCCTATAGGAACTCCCTTTCCCTATGATCTAGTGCCTACCAACTTCTGTGACTTCATTTACCCTATATTCCCACTTAGTCACTGTATTCTAGTCATACTGGCTTCATTTCTGTTATTTTGAAGTTCCCTAATTGTTTCCTACTTCAGAGAACTTTGTAGTATTAATAGTTATTTCTTATACAAGGAAAGCATTTCCCCTAGACATTTACCTGGTAGACTTGTTACAGGGCAGGGAGAGGGGCACCCCAGACCCCAGGCAAACCTGCCTACTCTAAATAGGTTCTGCCATCTGCCACATCAACACAAAACACGAGACTTTAATGGGAAGGAACTTTAATACAACTAGGAAACAATACAGGAAAGGCAAAGAATATAGTTTCTAAATCAGGTACCCAAAGATACCTGACCCCTCATGGGTAAAAGTCCACCCAAGCAGCATTGGCCCAGAGCAAGGCCCCAAAGCCTGCCACAAGTCTAAAGCATCTTCCAGTGGGGACCCACAGAAAAGGGTCAGAAACAACCAGACAAGCCCGGAAGGAAAAGAGCAAAATCAAAATTAAGATAAAAGCCTCCATTGTCACCTCCCCACGGGTCTCTCACCCACATCTGTGTCACCCAGTCCACGACCAAAAGGCAAGCACAGTTTCTTTACGTGTCTCTCTGCTCCATGTGCCTCCTCCAGGTCTCCTTCTGGCTCTCCATCCTGCTTCCTTCCTTCCTCAGTCTCCTCTGCAGCTTCTTCTCTCCCTGCTCAGCTCTACCCTCCTTTTGGGT